ATTATTTAGTTCGTATAACCCTTATCAACATAAATTTTGCGACAAGAGATGAACATTGTTTTTAGTATTTCATTTCAAGTAAGAAGAGCACTGTTTTCTACTCATATACTGGGTGTTAATGATAAGTTTTGCCAAACTTTAATGGCGTATTCTATCGATGAAAATAATCAACTTCTGTCCTATAAAAATTTTTGATAAGACGCTTCCCTACAGAGATACAGGGTGTTAAAAGTTTCAAATATTTATATGATTTTTCCTGTAATTTGACTGGCAAACAATATTTAGTGATAAAATTTGGGGTACGTCATTTTTTAGTGGAGACTACTCTTTCATGGATAACTTATTTCAAAATAAACTCCAGTGGCGTAGTTATTGAGGGAGTAGGAGTTTTTTTTTAAATCGTACGCCACTGGTTTTTAAAATGTACAATCAATTTGTGGCAATAAAGTATTCTTCTAAAGTACAATAAGAAGATACTTAAGTACCTACGTTGCGATTTCCATTTTCTATTGATTGCTAAATGAGTAACAATAAATTCAATACCTAATATTTTTGAGAGATTTCAATACACTATACAATGCCACTGTTTTGTGTTGCAAAAAGTTTGTTATTTTTCATACAACTGAAAACAGATTTTAATAAAAAAAAAATATGGTATTCAATTCATTTCAACTGTAAAATACCAGTACCGTAGGTGGCAGGTTGTTGCTAGAAAAAAGTCATAATTTTGAAACTGTCACACATTTTTGTGGCGTTTTTCTGCTAGTTATGGTCCGTTATACAAATATTGAATTAGCGGATATACATTTTACATACGGTAGAGCGAATGGCAACGCTAGACAAGCTGAACAACTTTATAGACAGGCTTTTCCAAATCGACGTCGTCTAACAAGGAACACTTTTTCAAGCGTACACCATCGAGCTCGTGAAACTGCATGTTTGTCGCTACCAAAACGTCGAATAAGAGAAAGACCTGTTCGTACAGTTCATTTGGAAGACAGAATTTTGGAATATGTAGATGAAGACCCATCTACCAGTACCAGACAGATATCAACAGATTTGGGTGTATTATAACAATCTTGAACGTCTTACGTGAGCAGCAATTACGCCCATATCATGTCCAGCTAGTTCATACATTAAATTAACCTGACTATCAACCGAGAATTGAATTTTGTCAACAATTGAATTTTTACATGCCAACAGCCTGATTTTCAGTTATTAATATTATTTACCGATGAAGCAAAATTCACAAGAGAAACCATTTCGAATTGTCATAATAACCACCAATGGGCGGATTTTCATACATTATCCGCATATTATTTTCCAATGTCGATTCCAAGAACAGTTTTCTCGGAATGTTTGGGCAGGCTTTGTGGGCGGTAAGGTGATTGGTCCCTACTTTTTACCCAGAACCCTCGATGGTAGAACTTATCAAAGGTTCCTACAAGAAGAATTACCACCACTTCTAGAAGAAGTGCCATTGAGGTTACGTCAATTATTGAGGTACATGCACAATGGGGCGCCACCTCATTACAGCCTTATCGTTAGACTGTTGCTGAATAATCAGTATCCTAATCTCTGGATTGGTAGAGAAGGACCCATTGCTTGGCCAGTTCGTTCCCCCAACTTGAATCCCTTGGATTCCTTTTTTTGGGGCTACCTCAAAACCATAGTATATCGTACTCCAGTTCCCAATGTAGAAGTACTTCGAAAGCGCATTGTAGAGGGTTTCGCAAGCATACACACACACACATTATGCAGTTATAGCTCTAAAGCGTATTTAGAAGGTCGAGTTTATTATGTATCCTATAAAGCGTTCAAATCTGAGCTATTTACTGCTGAAGCAGGTGTTCCTCAGGGGTCTAATCTTTGACCCTCATTATTTTGACATTTATTAATAACCTTATAAAAATTATTAAATGTAATAAGCTGCTCTTTGCAGATGTTTTAAAAGTATGTTGTAAGATTGTATGTTTTTACAATCTCAAATATTTTTAATTGAAGATGGTGTGGAACATTTAAGCTTAAATTAAACTGTAACGTTGTTATTCATGAAAAAAGTTAACTATTTATATTTATTTATTCCTTAAGTGCCATTGTTTCCAAACAGATGTTTGATGAGAGATTCGAGTATTATGTTTAACTCAAAATAAGTTTTTCGTAGCATATCTAAAACGCAGCAGAATTAAGCCATGAAATGTTGGATTTTATTTATGTATCATTTTCTAGTATCATATTAACGTATTAAAAACATTTTAATTTTCATTTGTGTCTTCTAAGCATAGTATCGATCATTAATTTGGTGTCATATTTATAGGGTTCATCATTTAGTTATGGAACTGGTTCAAAGAAAATTTTTGAAATTCTTATCAAAAGCTATGGTTTATATCTTAACCGCTGAGAAAATCTAAAACTGTTATTTTCTATGTTCAATCATTAAAGCTAGAGAAATTTATTCCATTAATAGCATCACCGACTCCATACGTATACTACTATTAGAATATTTTAACATCAGGGTCCCTAATTTCCGTTCTAGGCATAATGAAACTTTTTATTTGGTAACAATATTAACAGTAGCTAGGTAGTTTCCGATTAATGTGATAATAGATATGTTTTCAATTATAATCATCAACTTTCTCTTTTTCTTCTCTTCTTTTGCCTTTGATAATTAAAATATTCATTTAATTAAGGGACATTCCATGCCAAATCACTGAGATCGTGACCCGACCATTTTTTATTTTCTTGATTTTTTTGTGTTAGTAGCTCTCTTGAATTTTTTGAAATTTTTATTTCAACCCCTCAAGAAGTTATGAACATTTGAATATTTTGGATAAAAATTTTCAAATACCTACCTGTTAGGTACTTGGCGAAAACTAGAGATATCATAATCTTTAATTTTTTCATTTTGTTCGTTTTGAGATGTAGTTTTATATAAAAAAATACATATTTAGTATTTTGAGTTTTTTTTTGAGATTTAAACCAAAAGTACTTTTTGAAAAAGAGTGGTGTTATTTTTTTTTCGAAAAATTCTCAAAAAAATTGTCTTTTAATATGCAAATTTATGAGATAAATTTTAGAGTAAGATCTAATTTTATTCTATTTTATGTTCGAATTAATTTTTTTGTATTTTAATTTTTTGCAGATAATTAAACCCTATTAAACGAAATTTTACTATAGAAGTAAACCGCTATGACAAATTACAAAAAATACCATATTTTTAAAATTACTTCTACTAATATTGTCATTAAATATTTAAATTATTATTAACTAAATATTCCGATTTTTTTATTTTTCAGTATAAAAAAGTTTGTTTTACATAATGCCATAACACTTGTTATATCTTTGGCCATTTGTATTTAGTAGAAACATTTATATACAGGCTGTTACAAATTCGCTTCTCACTATGGGGACCTCGGAAACGGTAAGAGATACGAAGTATCTTAAATGGGCAAAGTTGCGTAATCAGAGAACCAGAATTTTCGAAATATTTGAAAAAAAACCGAAATTTTGGAAATCCGTTTTTGTTTTATTTCAGCCTTGTTTGAAGTGATTTTTTGCCCTCTATCAAATAGCATAATCCATTTTTGTATGTAACATTTCGTTTCTCTAGGACCATCACCAATTTAATTTTTTTAAATACGACTAGAAATTTTATTACATTTTTTGCAAGCCTTCATGACCCCTAATACTAACGACACTTACATTGTACGATAATTCTATAAACAAAGAAATATAAATAAAAAATTTAGATAAATTTGGAACGAATACACTGAAGATGAATTTTTCGAGACAAAACGTCTGAATCTGGTTCGGGTTGAAGCAGTACAGTATTGAGGGAATGAAGGCTTGCAAAAAATATAATAAAATTTCTAAGGTCGTATTTAAAAAAATGAAGTTGATAAAGGTCCTAGAGAGACGAAACGTTACATACAAAAACTGATTATGCCATTCGATAGAGGGCAAAAAGTGACCATGAGAAAGTGTTCTTCTTTTTTCAATATCACTTCAAAAAAGGCTAAAATGAAACATATACAGATTTTCAAAATTTCGGTTTTTTATAAATACATATTTCGAAAACTAATCATGTTAGCCTTGATTTTTTAGAGGCATAATGTTGGTCCCCTGATTACGCAACTTTGCCCCCATTTAAGCTACTTCGTACCTCTTACCGTTTCCGAGATTCCTGTAGTAAAAACCGAATTTGTAACAGCCTATATATACAGGCCGTTACACTTAGTTAATGACGAAATAAAAAGATTATTTCTAGAACATGGGGGGTTTTATTTTCTAGTAATAGTTGTAAAAAGTAAAAATATGGTATTTTTAGTAATTAGTCATCGCGATTTGCTTCTATAGTAAAATTTGGTTTAATAGCTGTAAAAAATTAAAATACAAAAATTATTTTTCATTCGAAAAATAATAGAATAAAAAAAGATCCCACTCTAGAACCTGTCCCAGAAATTTGCATATTGAAAGACGATTTTTTTGGGAATTTATCGGAGAAAAAAATAATGCCTCTTTTTCAAAAAGCATTTTTTTGAATTGAAAATTAAAAAAAACTATTTTTATATTTTTTTTTTATAAAACTACATCTCAAACCGAACAAAATGAAAAAAAGTTTATATCTTTAGTTTTCGCCAAGTTACAGGTATTTGAAAATTTTTTACCCAAAATATGCAAATGCTCAAACTTGTTGAGGGATTGAAATAAAAATTTGAAAAAATTCGTGAAAGCTGTTGATCTTTAAAATAAATTTAGTAGAGGGCAAATATTTTCTTTTCATACACAAAAACAATTAATCGATCTATTATGTTGTTGACACTGTGGTTTCAAAATGTCATAAAAGTTTAACGTTTATTTTAAACTTTTTTCTGTTAACATTTATTATTTCCGTGTGAGAAGGAACGCTACCTGATAAAATAAAATATAAGGTTTTTTTAGAACTAATTTGAATATTTATTGCTAATAGGTGTGAAGGGGTTTGGAAAAAAACAATTGTAAAACTAATAATCTGTTTTATTAGGTTTATATTGAATGTAGGGAGCACCGCAATATACCATTTAAATATAAACATAATATAAATTATATATAATATATACCAACATTATTGGAAGACGTCAAAGATCTTGCTGTTTATAAGGCACATTAGACTAATCGTAAATAACATACTATATACACAATAATCAACTCTAAAAACATATATACAACATTTTACAAATCACAATCAACTCTAATAAATAATACAGAACTATTGCTTGGATTTCCGCCAAGCGCCTGTAAGGATATGGCTGACATGCTTTTGTAAAACATACTCTTAATAATAAAGTAGGCTTAACTAATACTGAACATATTTCTTATAATTTCTAGACTTTATAAGTAGTAGATATCACAATTTTTATTACGAACTGATCACAAATCTATCTCCAGATTATTTTACCAAGGCCTCCACGGCTTGTCCTCCATCGGTTCAACAGGTTTCCTTACGACTAACGACAAAGGTTTCGGTTGGCTATACATAGTGTCCATAGGCTCGGGACTATGACTTGGAGAGTAGTTGGAAGAAGAACTCGTCGCAGAAGCTGTCGACGCCGTCCTTTCCGGGACAATAGGAACTAATAATGGAACCGCTGAACTCATGTTAACAGGCTGCTGTTGCTGAGCTGCAGAAGTGGGTAAAACCAGAGCGATGTCGCCGTTTGGCAGTCTCGTCGGTACCAACTGGACCCCTGTGCCATTTCCATTGCTTAAAATGATGCCACTGCTCTGGGGTACTTGTTGTTCGACGGATTTCTGAGTGTTGGGCAAAATGTGGACTTGGACTTGAGGAACTTCCTGCGGTTTCGAACCTTGGTTGAGGCAGTTGGCTAGGTGTTGAAGAAGGCGCCGTTTGACGATGGGGTCCAAGCCGGGAAATCTACCAACTTCGGTGGCGCACTCGCTGAAACCGGCTCGGAATTTGTTGATCACGTTCGGATCTGCGGCTGCTGACATAGCCACTTGTTGCCGTTGAAGGTTTTGTAGGTGTTTGACGGTCATTTCTAGGATGTCAGCTTTCTCCAGCTTAGAATGCCTGGCCGGCTGAAAAAAATTAAAAACAGGAGTCAGCAAAAATCTTATATTTCATCGCATTTCATTTAAATGAAAAAAAAATCAAATAAAGAAATATACATATAGTGTAATTTATTAAAAAGGCAACGCTGATAGGTACTATTTGTATTCGCATATTTACATTAAATATAATATATTAATTAAAAGCATTAATACAGAAAAAATACTAATCTATTACATAATATTAAACAAATAGTATTTAAAACTAAAAATATTAATTTTGTCATATACTGGGTGTTAAAAAAAGAGTGTAAAATATTTCAGGAGGTAATAGTATGAACCAAAATAAGCAGAAAAGTCTTAATAAACATGGGTCGGCAAAGTAACGGTTGCGGAGATATGGACCACTATTCGTTTTTCAAACATTTTGTTTTATTAGGAATAAACCGACAAAGGAAGCTTTTAACAAACAAAAAACAAAGTTACAGAAGATGTTCAAAGTGCCCTCCGTCCATTTCCAAGCAGGCACGACATCTTCGTCTCAACGATATTCGAACTCTTTCGAAAACACCCTCCTTGGTTTGGATTTCTTGACACTTTTGATTAATCCGTAGCTGCAGCTCTTCCAGGCTATTTACAGGAGTACCATACACTAATGTCTTCAAATATCCCCAAACAAAGAAATCTAGAGGGTTCAGATCAGGCGATCTTGGAGGCCATAAAACAGGTCCGGCCCTTCCTACCCATCTATGTGGAAAAGTTTGGTGTAAATGCTCTCTAACGGCCATGGAAAAATGAGCTGGAGCACCATCATGCTGGAACCACATTTGTTGCCTCTGATTCAAAGGAATGTCTTCCAAAAACTCATACAGTGTGTTCTGCAGAAAGTTGAGGTAAGCAGCGCCTGTTAATCGGTTTGGTAAAACAACAGGACCTAGAAACCTGTCACCTACAATACCCATCCAAATGTTTAATGAAAAACGTGCCTGATGTCCAGATTCTATTAGAGCATGAGGATTTTCGTCGGCCCAAATATGCGTATTGTGAAAATTAAACACTCCATTTCTTGTGAACCCGGCCTCATCAGTAAAAAGAATGTTTGCAAGAAAACGAGGGTCTTCAGCATCATGACGTAGAAACCAGCGGCAAAAAACCAAACGTGCTTGATGATCATTTATTGGATTTAAGGCCTGTACTCGTTGCACATGGTATGGATAAAGCAGTTGCTCGTGAAGGATTCTCCAAACAAGAGGACCACTAATTCCTACCTCGGCTGATATTCTCCGCACACTCGTACCTGGATTCTGCTCTACCAGTGCTAGAATTTCTTCTTCTGCTCTAGGAGTGGATACCGACCTTGGTCTTCCGGATAAATGGCACTGTTTGCTCAAGGAACCGGTATCACGCAATCTTTGGTGAATTCTTCCAAACATGCGTTGTGAAGGAATCTGGCGATTTGGATAAGCGTCAACATAAAGACGTCGCGCTTCGGTGGCGTTCCCATTAGCACGACCATACATGAAATGCATGTCTGTTAATTCTGCGTTAGAGTAACCAGCCATAGCGAAAGAAAACTTGTGCACTGAGAACAACTGTCAAATACGTACTGTTTATTTCACTAAACATCAACCAACTATTATAAGAAAATACACAACGTTTTTGCAAAATAAAAAAAGGGGCTAAAAAACATAAAACATTCCATATCTCCGCAACCGTTACTTTGCGGACCCATGTTTATTGAGACTTTTCTGCTTATTTTGGTTCATACTATTACCTCCTTAAATATTTTACACTCTTTTTTTAACACCCTGTATATTTTACATATTTGGATACTGCAGCTTTTACTGTTACAGTATTATAAGGTTACATGAACTTATCTCTTATAGTAAAGCAGATATGATAAAAGAGTACAGCGTAATATGATAATACCATAGATGTAAACAGATAAAGATAGGACATACTCCTGCGCATCCTACCAGTTTCCCCACTCTTGTCACCCACCACCACTACGCTGTTGTGCCGTTATACTACAGTCTGTTTTTAAAATAATAATTGTCCCAGTTAAACACCCAGTCGCGGAAAACGGTAGCCTTTATAAAGATTAAAATGTATTCTTCTTTCTATCCTTTCTAATCTGTATGAATAACATCTAATAGTTATATATATATATTATATCGTTTTTTGGCGACTTGGCCATATCCCTGCATTATTTTGCAGGTAGATCTAGCCAGCCATGTAAAAATGTAAACTATTTAAAAAAATAGTCGATTTATTTTGTTCTGTAAATTCTCAAATGAAATTCTGGGTTTGTTTGAATTTAATTTCTTTTGTAACTAAAAATAAACTGTATATGCAGTGCGGAATAACAGGGAAACACATTGTATATACGGTGTGTTCCACGATTTTGTCCTAAAGGGGAATAGCTTCTTTATTTGTAAATTTATGACAAAACGTAATGCATTATAAAAATACTTGTTTATTTTCAAATCCTGAGAAATGTTACTACTTTCTTGTATTTATATACAGTGTTCAAATTTTGAAAAAAATTTTATGTGGCTTCAGGCAATGTATCCCAATCTTTTATAAAATTGAGAAATATCACGTAATTGCTGTAGAAGCAGAACATTGAAAATATAAAGATTCGATTGTTTTGTAAACAAAAAATACCCTATTTAATATTACTTAGGTAGCTTACTTACAACTCTTGAAGAAGGATTCCAAAGTTACTCCAACAATACATCCATGTTTCAATAACAGAATAATAAAATTGTACGACCTCCCAGAAATCCCGATCTGAATTCAATGGATATTAATTAATTATCATTTAAAAATCAGTTTCTGGTTTAATTATGGGAAACTTAAGCGTGTGCAATGTATTTTACTGATGTGAAATGAGATAATTTTTTTATAATATATTAGTTGAAACACATTTACGACGTTCTTGAATTTTCTAATAATATATCCTAGTAACACTATTCGATATTTCAAATAATATAGCATCCTATATATAAAACCAAAATGTCATAATTTTTCTAAGGCAAGCAGGAATTTTAATAAAAATTTTTCATAAATTTACAAAAAAAATATTTTTCCTCTTCAGGATACAATAGTAGGACATACTGTACATTCGAGCAAAATGAAACAACTTTCTAGAATAGATAAAAATAGAACAGAGGAAGCTTTCTTCGAAAATGTTTTAGCAATAGAACCTAGAATACAGTAATAAATTTTACGTATGTTTCGAATTGCTTACGTATTTAACTTACGCATTTGTTTAATCTACAATCTTTTACAGAAAAAATATTAAACTCCCCAACTGACTTTAAAAGCGTTGGAAAATTACGGTCTGGTAGTTTAGTAAACAACCTATTTTACTTTAAACACAGACAAAAAAAGTTGGTACTTACGTCTTTTTTCATCGCGTCTAGGATTAGAGTTTTCAATTCATTCAAGCAATTGTTGATTCTAGCCCTACGCCTCTTTTCCATAATAGGCTTATTGCTCTGCAAAGAGAAAGGAAATCAGCAAACGTAACCGTGAGAAAAAGATTGCTTAACACTTGGGCACGTGCCATCACTGGCATCAGGCCAGGACGAGTGGTCTTTGTTTTATAATTAGCTCGAGACTACTGTGCTCAAATGTCAAATCTATTCAACAGCAAAGTTTATAGACATGCACTTACCCTTCTATTATCACTAACTCTTCTCGTGGATGAAGCAGTGTCGACTGCACTCGCTTGCACCGGATTTGGGGTTGGAGATATACTGTTGGCTTGGATCATGGTCGTAGTAGTTGATCCCGTGGTAGTAACCATCTTAGCACGAGCAATCACAAATAAGTCAATTTCACTGTCACTGAATGTAAAGTAACTACAGTACGACGTCTGTACTAGCCCGCTTGACGCACTCGTTGCCTACCCGCAAGAGGTTTGGCGAAGCTATGCCAGATCAGATCCTCAAACGCACTGGATCCAGCATCCTGGCGGTGGTGGGGGTTTTATTGTATGAGATGAAGGTTTCGGCGCGTTCCCAGGCTCGTTCGGCTATCCTCGGGCAACGGACAGAGCAGGATTTAATAGATAGTGGCTGTAATTATTTTAGCTACCTGTTGATCCTTCGGCATACTAAATACCGAAAGATTATTGCGGCCAACCATATCTATGCACTTGTTGATTTTAAGTGCCAAAGGAGTTATAGCAGCGGTTGTGGGTCGGATTTACTGAAGACTGAAGGCGTAGTTGGTTGCTAATAAACGCTGATTCAACACTGAGGCTGAGAGACAAACAGTGCATATTCCCTTATTTAATTAAAACATATTTTAATTCTAATATTATTATATTCGTTTTTGAGATCTCTACTAATAGACAATTCAGTCCACATCTAGTTAAATAATAATAAAATTATAGCAATCTCATAGAAGTGTTAAAAAATAGACACCTTTAAAGGTGTATGCGTTATAGAATGAACAAAAAAATGAAACATAAAGTACTGATTCTTGAAATATTGAAAGAAGAAATAAAAGTTGCCGAATTTATGACATTTATTTTGATATTTATTTTATATAAAAAAAAGAAAATTGAAGCAATTAAAATATGTTTTCTTTTATGAATGCTATAAGATGGTTAAGCCGGATACATATCTGAACACGAGGGGCATGCTACAAGGCAAAAACCGAACAAAAACAACACAAATACACAAATGTAGTTATTTTGTCGAGGTGCATCATTGTTTTTGCTTAGTTTTTGCCTTGTCTCGTATTTGTTCATGCTCAGATGTGTATAGATGTTACGGATTTTTTTCAGATTATGTTACTCTACAATCTATATTATTGGATATACGTTTAAATATTCTAACTTAACTGAAATTCCTTTTCAGAGTTAGTCTTTTGAACATTGATTGATACTGTTTATTTCATACATATTCACAGTCCAATTAATTGATCTGTTGGCCAAGTCTTAACCAATTTTATAATGAAACTTGATCAATTTGATAGTTCAAGTTGATACAAGTAAAATGAATTTAAATAAGAACAACTCTATAAATTAGGAAAATATTTATCTAGGAACTGATAATATATTTAGCAAAAATATTAGGTTCCACTGTAACTTTGCTGCCTTTGAATATATAGGAAAAGTAAAATATAAAATATTCACTCATTTTTAACGACAATTTCATTTTTTTTATCAGAAAAATTGAGCGTCGTAATTCAGATATATAAATTACATGAGAAACCCAATTGTTTATTTTTAATTGAAATAATGAATTCCTTGTGAAAACCAATTTTCATTTTTCGAAATTGTAAATATCAAAGAAAAAACATATCGTCATGTTAAATTTATTATTTCACTATAATTTAAAATCTTCATAAAGGAACTTGCGTTTTTGCCATATCTAGGATGGCGATGAAAAAATAGAAGAGCTAATACTAAAAAAACTGTATAACAAAAATAATAAAGAAATGTGCAGGTGTTACAAAGGAATATTTAATTATCAGATAAACTTGCAAATTACACATGAAATTTCCTTACATCTAGTTATTTTTAATAAAAAATGTCATAAACACAGGTTAAAAGTATAACCTGTTATAAAGATTATCTTCAATAATCATAAAATTACTAAGATTACCGAAATCATCATCTTGGGAATTAAGTAAATTGCTACGTGAACGATAATATTAAAGCAATTTATCGAAATTAATCTGTTCATTTCCTTTCTAACAAAAAAAAAACTGAGACTAAAAAGCCCACCCTTCTACTATTTTGTGTGTATATAATTATATACATCTACACTTCATTTAATAAAATACGTATTTATAATTTCTAGAATAAAATTATTAATTTAAAAATTTCATGTCGCCATCTATATGTGGTCTCTATTATAAGATATATTTAACGCCAATAATAAAGTAGCATGCTTCTTTTAGAAGCTGCTAGAGTTTCTAGGTTCTGAACTATATTGTTAAAACAGTTAATGTGTTTTTTTTGTATTATTTGCTGAAATTTTATTGAAAGTAAAGTTATTCTCCAATATCTCTTTAAGGTGGTATTTCTGTTTAAAAATAGTGGTAGTAATTGATACAAGAAAAAATTCGTATCAAGACAAAAATTAAGCCGCAATGGTATTCTGTTTTCCGAAGCTCCAAAATCTCATGAACATGAAGGACAATAGCTGCTTTTTTCTTTTTCTATAATGGCCATCACTGGTGATCAGATAATGATGATTAAAAAATTGTAAAATGTGAATTGTGTAACAGTGAAAATTTGAATAGAAAACGTCAATGGGTTTTTTGTTCTATCAAAATTTTAATTATTTTAATTTTCCCTGAGTATTTTTAAACAAACTCTTCCTTGGTATGGTAATGGTAATAGTAAATAGTATTATCCAACATATTTGAAACCAATGTCATGATAAAGTACAAAATAAAAATGTCCACCAATACACAATTCAGTTGGTATCTGGAATTCGACCGTATCGGAGTGTTTTTTGCGTACCACTATTTCCTTTTTTAAGTGTTTTCCAGCGAATATTCGATTCGAAGGTGAAAAAATGGTGGTGTACATTTTGGGCATGTGTTGTAGTTTGTTTTATATTTGTTGGTTTAAAAATTACTGACTTGCTTTTTGGTAAGTATCTAAATTATTTTTAATACGAATGATTATTTTGATGACGTGAATCGTTGGGTACTTTATTTACAAATTTTTGAAATTTATAATTTGATTAAAAGTTAAGTTCCTGTTTAAGCTAAAATTTAAGCACAACACTAGGTATCGTCGTACTACAAAATCGATACATTTTATTTTATTTATTTAAAAACTGGAAAACAATTGTCATGAAATTTACTAAATGTTTCACAATAATAGTTGTTTACATTTTTTCCATAGGACAAGTCGTCTGCCACGTGCACACGTGATATACATCAGCTAGGTAACGTTTGGTTAAGCACTGTTGTCACGTTGTGATGAAACTCCCCAATATTAACACTCGCTGTATTATGAAAACTGTTAATCTTACGCCCCAGTAATATACAACTTTTTTGTTCATTTATAATTACTCTATCTCATGCTGAAGTAATGGCAATCAACCTTCTTACACCCTGTATACAAATGCACATATTATATGTATAACTTAACTTATCTGAAAAATTACATCTACATAAAGGATATCAACAAATTGTATTTTCTACAGCAATAATGCAAAACTATTTAACACAACCTTCTTACGAAGGAACAATACAAAGAGTGAATCTATCTCATTACGTACTTTTTAATAGCCAGTAGCGATACGCAAAAATTCGAGTAGTAGCAAATTAAAACTGTCTTGTGAGGTGAGGCTTTTTGATCATGGCAATTACTGATACAGTTATCATAGTTAAATAATAGGTAAGTGTAGTGATTACTTAATACCAGTTTATAAAGTTAAAAATGTTATAATGAAACTCCCCGCTCGGAGAGGAATCGATCGACATTCCCCGCCCAAGTCCGGTCCTGTCCCGCCGTGGTATGCGGCTCGCAGCGGCAAAATAACCACCGTTCCACGTTCTCCTCCGCTGCGTACTCGTACCTGTGTGTCTGTAATACAGGTGGGTGGTGTGACCGTGTGTCTGGCGGCGAGAGAGAGCGGAGCGGCGGCGGCCACACGTGCCCGTGTGCGTCACGCTCGCGCTCGTGGGAAAGCCCCGCCTATGACCGCGGGTGGCTGCCGTCCGCTGCTCGCTCAAAGTGCCGACCGCGTGCCTGAGTGCCCTCTCCACGTCCTCCCGGGATAAATGCTGATTCATGGATGTACGTCCGCGACTCGCTGCCGCGGCCCTGTCGCTTATCTCGACATGGCGAGGTCGCGAGGCATGCGGCGCGCGGAGCGGTTCTCGGGACGAGGTGAATCACGACTGCATCCGCCATGGGCGCGCGGCTAGCGTTCGACTGGGTAATAACGTCTTTATATATTTTAATTTGCCCGTTCAATATCGGAGTACATATATTATGATATGACATGCGAAAACATTCTAAAATAACAGGGTTTAATTGTAAAAGTCAGAAAGTTCTAAAACTTTACGTAATATTACAAGAAGCTCAGAAAATCAAGCGAGTAAGGAACTTAAAAACTATTTAAGTTTAGTAAAACTGTTTTTCTTTCGAGATTTGTTTCTATTTTTCCCATTTTGTGTTAGTAAGTAATTATGAGCAAATAGTGATAGATATAAAAGCATTATAAAATTAGAAATTTAAAATATTTCATAGTTTATTTATATAATAACAGTTAAGTTTCATTTTTGTGATTTAAATTGATTCTAAGTTATAAATTGTTGTGAAATATTAATTTTAGCCAATGTTGTGTTTGTCTGTGTTGTGTGTTGTGTTCTTTGTTTTGTTTGTATAAATATTTTTTTTGTTGGTTAGCCGCTGATTGTTAAATACAAACCTTCCTTTGTCTCACCAAGTACTTTACCTTTTCCCTTGCCAGCTGATGTTAGATGCTTGTTTTATTATTAGTGATCTCAGGAGTCGGTTCTATTAATTTTAATACACAAACAAGTACAATGCAACACACCAAAAAAAATTGAGATTAAACTTTAATACAAACTTTATTCCAAAAATTTTGTGGGTTGACTTAAAACTTGCAACTTGTAACTCAAATTGTGAATATCTTCCTTAATAATAATAATCAATATTTTATTAATTTTGTTGTCTTTTCTACTCTAATACAATTAAATACAATACAAGGATTGTTTTTAATTCAAGAAAAATTTTACTTTATTAGCAATTAATTTAAACTATTCAATTTTGAATACGTCTCTTTGTCATAATTTATTATTTACTGACAGAAAATTCAACTCTAATTAAACATGGCTGTCCCTATTGATAAATTGGTTCGAGCTCGTGGAATTTGTGAAGTTTTTAGAAATATGATTATTTGGCTTGTATTTATTTTTTTTCAGGTAAGTTCTATAGTC